TCTATTGAAACAAGGAGGGCTTCAAAGGAGAATTTCCAATATTGTCAACAAGATTTGGATTTGTACCTAAAACTATATATTAAAACTAGTCTATACAACAACATGAAACTATAAATCCATAGAATAAAATAAATCATTTTCAATAACCAAAATTGTTGAGTGCCATAAGCTTGAAGGAATCCATTGTCAACTTGACAAAAAAAATTATTATTATAATAAGTATACTTCACCAAGTTTGGTGCCAACTACATTCACAATATTATAAAATAAAATCAAATAGACCCAAGTTTTTGTTGACTTAGCCAACACCCTTATTGTTACTCAACTTACATTGTCAAATCTTACTTCAAACATTTTTACTCATTCAAAACTCACTTCCTTTATTTCATTATTCTTTCAAACATTCTTCATTTACAAATCATTTAATATATTATTATAGTTATTCAAATTGCATCCAAAACGAGAGTGATATCTTGCTCCTCCTCTAAAGGTCGGAGGTTTAATCATCCTTTATCTCCACATAAAAAAAACGCCGGCAAGAATCATATCACTAAAATAAAAATAAATAATAAAAATATAAAAATAGCTCCATTTTACTCCAATGCCTTCATGACTTGTTCTTTTTCATTTGTGTATAGGACAGAAAAAGTCTGCCGAAATAGAATACTAGGTTATTAATGTTTCATTAGTATAATTTGATAATAAATTTCACTCTCTCCCCCTAATTAACTTGGCCTTTTTTTTTTTTTTGAAAAAATTTCCTTGTCCTTTTTTCTGTATAAGACAAAAAAAAAATGCCCAAATAAAATAATAAGCTTTTAACGTTTCATGGGTGCAATTACTTGTCTCTTTCGATATTTTTATTTTTATCTTTTAATTGAAATTTACTCGACATTATTGTTAGTATTGACAGCTAAAAATTTTTTTAACGTGGTGATTTATTTTATAAAAGTGGTAAATATACTTGGTTTGATGACACATAAATTTGGCTAATCAGTTATGTGTGGTACAGTAACATATAGATAAGTGGATCAGGTACAAATTATGCAAATAAAAAAAATACTTGTCTATATATTTTGGACCAGAATCTTTTTCCCAGGTCTTAAATTAAAGTATTTATTTCAAGTGCAACTAATAATTATTATAAATTTTAGAGTGCATCTTAAATTATAACTTTTTGTTGTGTCTGACTTGAAATTGGATATAATTTATAAAGTTTACATATTTGTATATATAGTCCTACATTAGTCTAAAATTGAGAGCTTGATTCATCATAGAGTTACTTTGACTAGTTTTGTGGAATATCTTTTTTTTTTTCCATTCAAAAGATGGAAAATGGAAAAGTTGAAAAGAAGCAGTATAATTTCACCCCAAAAAAAGGAAAAAAACATTTATGATATAGTGGCCAACCATGCCATGATTATTTCCCTTTTTTTTCTAATGAAATTTTTACTACTATGAATGTTTCAAAAATTCTTTACAATAGGAAAGAATAAGATTTGAAATTAGAGATTTTAATTAATGATATATATCTTAATTAGTTGAGTTATATTTAGATTGACATTTGTTTAACTATTAGAAATTCTATAAACCTTTACTATGTCGTAAAAAAGTTACTTTTAGTAGCATTAAAAGAACTAAAAAAAATATCTTATCAAATTTTTTTTATAACTATTGTAATTTGTTAATGGAGTGTTTTTGTGTAATTAGTCGGTAAATTATGAAATAGGCAGAAAAATAAGATATCTCTATTGGATTATTTTTATTGAGTCAAGTCAACCTCACTGAAAATAAGATAGTTTAAAATTTTATTAAGGGTCGAAAATGCCAACCAATCTTAATATTTATTTAACTTATAATTTCATCTTTTTAAACTTTCAATTTATTTCAATTAAATCACGTAGTATAAAAAAAAAGTTATAACGTGTAAAAAAAAGTATAATATGATATTAAATTATAAGTTTGTCATTTTGGATTAGATATACATCTCTCTCACTCGTGTCATCCAGAACTCGAAATCCTTAAAATATTTAATAACTCTCACATGGTAACCCACCAACGTGTGTGGAACAATAAATGAATATAACCTAACCCATTTGTCCACCAACAAAATTAGAGTATTTATTTTTCTACCTTTCCATTAATTATTTGGACACAAATGGAAAACAAAAAATCTAGAGAAAAAAATAGGAGATTGGGAGTTAGATAGATGAGTGATGTGACCCAAAGTGATCCACACAAAGAGTCTCTTAAAAGAGAATATTCCATCCAAATTAAAGGAATTCAACCATTGTAAAAGTAACCCTTTTTCTTTTGTTCTCTTCTTTTTTAAAAAAAAAAGTTCCAATTTTTTAAACCGTTTTCAATTTAGTCTCTCAACTTTACATGAAAATTTATTTTAGTTGTTTGTTATTTTCAAAGCGGAAGGAATATAGAAGTTTATGATCTCAAAATAAAAGATGGTTAAAATATCAATTTAGTTTGTATGTTTTGAGTCCATAGCATTTTAAAAGATTTAGGTTTGATTAAGCCTCTCTTATCAAACTTCTTTAAATTGACTAGACGATGGACAATATTTTCTGTATAGCTCAATCCCTACCTCTCCTTACATAGCACGAGATCGCCCATATACGAAAASAAAACCACTTTAAATAAATACAGATTGAGATTGAGAATCCTTTTCCTTTTGGACGGATCCAGTTCCGCATGGCCATAGTAGCTTCCATGATCAGTATAAGGTATTGATATCCTGCCAATAGAGTCGACGAATCGGATTGAAATCAGTGTGAAGAAGAGTCATGTGATGACTAATCAAGCACAGTTGAGATTCCCACAAGGACAGGTAGCCGGAATCGCGGCAATGAAATCTCGATACTGTAAGACTGAAAATGAAAAAACTCCAACTCAACTACATCCATTCCCTTTGGCACATAGCATGTCGCAAGAAAAGCTTGATTCGAGGCATCAGCACGGAAAGCTCTTTTCAAATGGAGTAGTTGTCTTGAAAGCCTGCCCTACAGATAGGATTTCTTATCTCGACTGTCGAGGCTGCGGTACCACGCTCTTCCGTGCTCGTAGGTTGACTTCCCAGGAATTTCCATTTCTTCAACTAGTACCGATTCGTCATGCCTAAAATCATCCCAAGCGCGGCTAATGTGGATACTAAGCTATTTCTTTGGAAAGCTCATACTAATATGGGAAATTCCCTAATAAAGCTGCTAGTACCAGGTAAACTCATATTGGCCAAAGTGAAAGAGAAGGAAATGGTAGAGAGATTCGGCATGGTGCTCACTGAACCTCCATAATATCTAACAAGTCGAGTTGCTCTGGGTACTAGATTTACGATCAACCAAAGATCCATTTTCTGTTCATTTCCATTTAAAGATCTCATCTTTTATGGAATCGATCCCCCCTTTGACTGTACAAGAATATGTGGAGCTCGGCATGTCTGGAAGCACAGGAGAACGTTCTTTTGCTTCTTTCTATTATTACTAGTATTTGATACTGCGCCCTTTACCTCGTAAACTCGGTAAAGCGACTTGCTGCAAGGAGGGAAGTAAGGCTCCTATTGAAACGTTTTCCCTCCCTCAAAAGGTGACCAATCATTTTTCCAATATCATTGAATAGCATGGCCTGGGGCTAAGGCCACTCTCTGGGGATGCATGATGAGGAGAATGTGCGGTTTCGCTGTCGTTAGATTGTATGGCAACGTGAGCCAACGTCAGCAGAAAAAATGAGGAGACGGAAGGCAGTATTTTGAATCTATGTCGGAATTGGCACCGGCCTTTATTAAAACAAAAGAACAATCTAATGATTGACAGCTTGCATCAGTGTTTAAGCTTGTTCCCGCTGGATCGAAAGGATATAACAAAAACATACGAAATCTTAGCTTCGCTGACTTTTTGAGGTATAACCTTCGCCACGACATTAGAGGCTGAGCTCTTCACACTTCCCGTAGGCTTTTTTTTATAGAGGGAGAGTAAGGGATAACATTCTTTCTCATGATCTGGAAATAACATTCTTTCTCATGATCTGGAAATATCTGCGGAGATGGATACCGAACCCCTCCACGAATGAATGGAGTAGATTAGGGATACACAAGTGCTGCTTCATCATTTTTTCCAATGAAGTGAAAATAGAGTTGATCTTTAAGTTCTAGCCGCCGTTCGTGGTCGAGCATTAGAGGTTGTTCCAACTCAGTCCATAGATCTTCTTGGGAAATTTCTGCTTGGGGGGTTGCACAGCAGGATTGCGATGAGCTGGAGCCACCTCTGTCGGTGCCATCGGCCTGCTAGCCGATGCTAGATTTTGAGCCTCTGAGCCCTTTTGTCCTCACAACTCTACTTCTTCTTAGAGATTTGTAGGTTCGAACCCTCATTTCATGTGTTGTAATATTATTTATTAAAAAAAAGTAAAATACACTAGTTTGGTCACTAAAATTTAAGTTCTCCATTTATTTAGTTCTTAAAGAGCATGACACGTTAGTCCTTAAGTTTGAGAAATGGTTCTAAATAATCTCTAAACCAATTGTTGTTTAGGTTCAAGGACAAATAGAGAGATGAGAATTCAAACTCTTAACCTAACTTAACCTAAGTTCTGCTCATATTAACACTAAAATCATTTAACGATTAGTTGACCAATAGAAATATGAAGTCATGATTCATGATCTTTCCCTCCTTCTATCTTCTTCTTCTGCCCTCCCCTCCTCTAGAAAACTCGCCACCACCGCTACAACTCTGTCACCGTCGTCATTGAGTTGACAGACGATCTAGACTTAGAGCCTTTTAAGAACATTTAATTCGTGAAATAATTTTTTTTTTTTTTTTGAGAAAAAACGTGAAATAATTAATTGGGCATACAAAAAGGAAAGAAATTATAAAATAATAATTGTGGTAGATGTAAGTTACACGCTTTAATTTAATGTCACAAAAATATTGTCACTCCCTTCCCCTCTCCCCCATAAACCAAACTCCTATAAATGCATCAATTTTCCTCAAAACCAAAAAACAAAAAAAAAAAAAGAAAAAGAAAAAAAAAACTTCTCTCTCTGTCTTTCTCTCACGTTCTTGCACGCCACTCAGCCACAAGACAACACGCAAGGGAGAGAGATTTATCTCTCAATTCTCTCTCTATTCTCTCTCTTTTTTTGTTGTTTTGAGTAATGGAGTTTCAATCTGCGGCTCTCTGCGGCCTTCTCTTGGCTTCCATTTCCGCTCTCATTTTCTTCTTCGCTCACCTCAGATTCAATAATGGAATATCCAACAAAACCAACACTGACAACATGATCAAGAAGAAGAAGATCTTCATCGCCGGTTCCCGTGCCGCCGTCAACCCGCCGTCGGAAAATGTCCAATCCAACGAACCCGATGTCGTCATCGTCGGCGCCGGAGTCGCTGGCGCCGCCCTCGCTTATACTCTCGCCAAGGTCACTCCTCTCTCTCTCTCTTACTTTTTAGTCTTGGTCACGGATCATCATCAAGCTCAAAATTCAAAAGCTGATCCAAATCTCGATCTAAACTCGACGTTTGATCGCCTAGTTCATTCCATCTACAAATTGAATTGAATTGGGATCTTTGCTTTTTAAATTAGGTCGGTCTGATAGGACCGTATTTAATATAATTTGTGGATGGAAAAAATATTTGCCTTCTCATATTGAAGAGACAAGTATTTTCCGGATGGGGTGGGTGGGGATTAAACTCAGAGGAAGTATATGTCAATTATAGTTGACTAAACTCGCTTTTAGGATATTTATTTTGTTTTTATCCAATTTGAAAAATACATTTTTTTCAAATTCCAATTAATCTATGTACTCCTTGGTTGTCAAATTTTTAACGTGCCCTCTCTTAATTTTAAAATGTATTTAATAAACTTCTAAAATTTTAATTTTGTACTTATAAGTTTTTTTACTTTTAAATAATCTAATGAATTAGATTAATTGAATATAATATTGAAAATATTTTAAAATTATACGACTTTAAAAGTTTAAATACTAAACTTATACTTAAATCTAAAATAAAAATAGAACGACATGATTATTAAATGGTTCTAAGAAAATAATTACACGTTCTTGGTGTAGTCCTAAATGTATTTTTTTACAATAAAATAAATGGAATCTTATTTGTTTCGAAACTTATGTTTAAGTTTCATTATTCATTTAGTTATTTATTTACTTTATTTTAGTGTCTAATTTTTTAAATATTTTATTTTAGTCTCTCCAATTTTAAATACTTTATTTTGTCTTGTGGTAGGTAAGAAAAATAATTTTAGTTTTTACTATTAATTTTTCTTTGTTAATTATTTAATTTGAATCAAAAAAATTTTCAGAAACTAAATACCCATTTAAATACCTAGAATTGCACATATATCTATGGATTTGGTAAGGTAAGAAAATTTTAAACATATCAGATTTTTGTTAAATAGTTTATTGAAAGATTAGTGATAAAGACGAAAAGGAATTTTTGTACAACTTTTATAGATTTGACTAAAATGAAAATTTAAAGATTAAAATAAAATAAATATGAAAGCTTGGAATGAAATACAATCTCTTGAATCTTATGAGAACTTTTTTTTTATTATTATTATTATTATTATTATTATTTTGAAGAATCTAATGAGAATAAACTAAAAACCAAATAATATAAATTTACAGAAACAACAAAAAATATTTATAATTTCCAATTAATAAGTGCAACTTCTACCTAACAACAGATTTTTCAATATTAGAAAAAAGTTTTTTTTTTTTGAAAAGAATATTAGAAAAAAGTTTATAACTAATGAAACACGACATGAATGTTACATCACATCAATTTAATTAATAAGAATATGGTTTCTAATATTAAGAAAAAAGACAACTTACTTAAGATGCAAGTGTATGTTTCATTAATGAAATAAATTGTTTGACATTTACTTTATTTATTGAGATTATTTCAATATTTCTTGATCAAAATATAAAAAACTTTATTCTACTATTTATATTTATATGTATAAATATAATTTATAAATTACGTATATATCTTGGCTGTTCAAAGTCTTCAGACAGAAAATGGGGAAGCGGCAACATTTGTTTATATTAATATTTGGCTGTCTTGAATAGTCTAAAAAGAAGACGTCAAATTTTCATAGATAATTTTGTGAGCCATGTTTAAATAAATTAATTCACTATTTAATGAATATGGAAATTGACTTTTTCTTTGATTTACTCAAATAAGTAGAATTAGGCTTGTTTTTTTTTCATTTTTTATTTTTTAAATTTTAAGTACAATAAATTAGGAATTCAAACTATCGACCAACCTCATAGTCGATGAACTAGTTGATCCAGTTGACAAAATTGACGGTGATGGTTTAAGATTGATTAATCTTTTTAAAGCGAGACATGTTACCTGACTAATTAAAGACATGTTTAGAAGTGATTTTATCAACGCTATAATTACTTCTTCTTTTTTCGGAGGAACGCTATAATTACTTTTACTTATGTTAAAATCACCTCTATTTTAAAATAGAAGGTTTAAAGGTTTAAATATAGTATAAGTATGACTTTTTTATCCTATTTGGTTTATGTTAATGTTGTAAAATTCCAAACTTTCTTGTTATATTTATGAGTTTAACACGTGGAAGCGAAGCCAAAGTTCGAATTTTTAAGTACAATAAATAAAAATCGTGAGTTTGTATCTTTTTATTCTCCTACCTATTATCGGGATATACCATGAAAGATTTACCATCTAATGAGACTACTACGAAATATTTACTCATGGTCGGACAAGTTCTTCTATTCTTGTTAAATACTGGAGTCCGCTTCGAGACAGGATAATTAGTTGACCATTCTTGTATTTTTGGTAAACATTTGCCCGAACCTATTTCCTTTTTTCATCAAGCATGTGTATTTTTTATTTTCCTAACCGACCGGTAGACTTGAACCTTATGATCCATTCAATTAGGCACCTGTCATCTTCAACTATTTGACAAGATGGAAAAATCATTGTTGAACTACATGAGAACTGGGGATTCGAACTCTGGATCTAATATTTATAAAGCCATTACTTTGTGTGCGATGGCAGGATGGACGAAAAGTTCATGTAATCGAAAGAGACTTAGCGGAGCCAGAGAGAATCGTGGGGGAATTGCTTCAACCCGGCGGCTATCTGAAGCTGATCGAATTAGGGCTTGAAGGTAACCCTAAACTCCAATTTTCCTCATCTTCTTCTTCCAAAAACCGCAACAGATTTCATCTTCTCGCTCTCTGAATCGATTGATTTTTGTGCTGTGTGTGCAGACAGTGTGAATGGGATCGATGCGCAGCAGGTGTTTGGATATGCGCTGTACAAGGATGGGAAGCACACCAAATTGGCTTATCCTTTGCAAAACTTTGATTCCCATGTTTCTGGGAGAAGCTTCCACAATGGCCGTTTCATTCAGCGGTTGAGGCAAATGGCTGCTTCTCTTTCCAAGTATGTTCAATTCTCGTTGCTCCACCCTTCTTAATCATGCCCATAACCTTGTTTTTTTTTTTTGTTGGTTTGATCCCTAACCTTTCAAACAAGTAGTAGCCATTGTAGTCCTTGAGCTTCTTAGATGTCTAATTTTGTCCCTAAACTTGGGATAAATGATCATTTTGATCCTTATCAATGAGAAAATTTTAAAAGTTGAAGAACCAAAATGGTTTACTGTTTTTTACAAGTTTTTATTATTGCAAAATCATGGGCCTGTGAAAATTGATTGGGAAGATTTGAAGTAATCGTAAAGCAAAATCAGATAACCAAACAAGTCCTTTGATTTTCAATACATTGGTTTCTCTCCTGTTACTGATTCTTGGTTGATTTTGATGTCCAACTTTGATATCTTCTCAGTGTAAGACTGGAACAGGGGACTGTAACATCCATAGTTGAAGAAGATGGGACTGTGAAAGGTGTGCAGTACAAGACCAAGAATGGCCAAGAGTTGACAGCTTATGCTCCCCTCACCATTGTTTGCGATGGCGGATTTTCGAATTTGCGCCGCAACCTCTGCAAACCTCAGGTATTGATTTGGGATGTACCGAGAACTCCTTGAGTTTTCAATTCTTGATCAAGATATACATTTACCAGCATATATGTCTACGCTTAGTACAAGATACAGTTGAAAACCATGCTCCTGTCTGCAGATTGATATTCCCTCCTGCTTTGTTGGATTGGTCCTGGAGAACTGCAAGCTGCCCTTTGAAAATCATGGACATGTCGTGCTAGCAGATCCGTCACCTATCTTGTTGTACCCTATCAGCAGCACAGAGATACGCTGCTTGGTCGATATCCCGGGCCAGAAAGTTCCTTCTGTAGCTAATGGTGAAATGGCACACTACTTGAAGACCGTTGTGGCTCCTCAGGTATCTTTACACATTGATCTCTCTTGCAGGTTTCTCAACTTGGTTCTGTATGATTCATTTGATTTGGCATCTAGACTTGCAAGAACCGGTTTTCGGGCATGCTTGTTAATTGCAAGAATTTTGTATTCCAGGTACCACCCGAGTTGCACGCCTCCTTCATTGCTGCGATCGAGAAGGGAAACATTAAAAGCACAACAAACAGAACCATGCCAGCAGCACCACGTCCCACACCAGGAGCACTTCTCTTGGGGGATGCATTCAACATGCGACATCCTTTAACGGGCGGAGGAATGACGGTCGCTCTGGCTGATATCGTTGTGCTACGAGACCTTCTTCGACCTCTTGCAAATTTGAAAGATGCCGATGCATTGTGCAACTATTTTGAATCCTTCTACACTTTGCGCAAGGTAATTGCAGATGCCCTTTCTCCATATAATCCAAAAGTTTGGCACCTGATACTGCAGAGCACATCGAGAAACATGTAGTTGTCCTGATATATACCGGTTTTCGCCTAATACTCGAGCTACATATGCTAATGGTGGCTATGTTTGATCCTTTGCAGCCAGTGGCATCTACAATAAACACATTGGCAGGTGCCTTATACAAGGTGTTCTGTGCCTCACCTGATCCAGCCAGGAAGGAAATGCGAGAAGCTTGTTTCGACTATTTGAGTCTAGGAGGCCTGTTTTCATCCGGTCCAGTGGCTCTTCTCTCCGGTCTTAACCCACGCCCGTTAAGCCTGTTCTGTCACTTCTTCGCTGTCGCTATATACGGTGTCAGCCGCTTGCTAATCCCATTCCCTTCGCCCACTCGCATATGGATCGGAGTTCGGTTGATTACGGTACGCCTTTCAAATCCCTCTAGCACATTATCTATGAATAGCAGTTTCCAACTCTGTTGTGAATTGTATCTCAACAGGGAGCAGCAGGCATCATTTTTCCCATAATAAAGGCTGAAGGAGTGAGACAAATGTTCTTCCCTGCAACAGTGCCTGCATATTATAGAGCCCCTCCTATGAACTGAAAAATTGAAAAGGAAAAGGTAAAACAAAATAAAGCAACAAAAATGAGAAAATTGATTGTACTGAGTAAACATATACCTCCCAAAAGCACAAAGAATTGAAGGGGGCAAATGCTACTGATAGGAAAATGAACTTCAAAACTGTAGAATGTCACCTCTATCATTATTTTTCCTTCTCTCTCTCTCTATAAAACTTCCTTCATAACTTTGTACTTTGTGCTTTAGAGTTTTCTTTTTTCTTCTTCTTCATTCTTTTTACATAATGTTACTGCTATAGCAAATGTTGTGAGGGAAATAAAGTTAAAAAAGTTTTGTGCAACTTGGCTCCCATATGTAATCTATTTTTTAATCTAATCTTTCATTAATGTCTTTATTAACCACCTTAAATGAAATATAAGGAAATTAATTAATTAATTAAAATCAACTCATCTACCCTAGAAATCTATATCTTAAAAAATTGACAAAAATGAACATGGTTGCAAACTAATTACTTTGGCACAATTTATGTTATTAACAAAGTCTTCTAAACCTTCCAAATTTTCTAAGCTCTCTAAAACTTATAAATATCCTCTAAATTGTGAACTTCTTGCATATTTTATCTTTTGGCTCAATTTTCATATGACATAATCTAGTTAAATTACATCATTAAATAACAAGTATTCATAAGATTGAAAAGTGGCATTATTTAGTCTCTCTTTTAAAATTAAGCATACAAACATTACTTTCGCTCATTTGTTCTTTTGTTTTCCTATACAGTTTTTGTAAACATTTTCAAAATTTATATCAAATTAAAAATACAAAAAGGGTAGTTTTCAAAATTTTGTTTTTGCTTTTGAAATTTGGTTAAGAATTCTAATATGTTTTCCAGAGGCGTGAAAAATTTAGTAATAAAATTGTACAAAAATAAATGACGTTTTTAGTATAAAAAAGTAAGCATAGTTAATAGAAACAAAATGGTTATGAAACGACACTAATTTCCAAATTTATGTGTTGAAATGGGCGTAACTTAACGTAGAAGCATATAACTCCTTACTAAGATCAGATGTTCAAATTTCCATGCTCATATTTGTTGTACCCTTCAAGAAAACTAAATTTATATTTCTTATTTAATTTAGAGACATTTATTAATTTACCGGTCCTAATTTTAATATTGTATAATTTTGTCATTGGTTTCAAAAATATTAGATGGTAGTTTGTGTTTTTTTTTTTGTAAAAAAAAATCCTCTCTTTTTCCACTAGCAACTTTTCTTTGATCAGGAAAAGAGGGGGAAACTTTATTTCTTTTCTTTTTTTTTTAATTAATGTTTAAAATTTAGTGTTGGATTTTGAAGTTTTTAGGTGGAATTTGAAATTTTAGGACTACATCTAAATTGTCTCCTTTCAATGGGATTGAAGAGTACTCATAAAATGTTACTTTTGTATGTTAATGATTTAATATTAGATATGTAGCTGCAAATTTTGTCCCTATAGATATTTTTACTCATGAACATAACATTTACGGAGGATAAATTTAAGAACATACAACAATATATAGAGTGGAGATTCAAACTCATGACCTTTTAATCCAAAATCGGTGTCTTAATCATCGTAGTAGTTAAGCTCATAGTTTTCTTGCTTTTTAATGGGTTAATATTCAACCAATCATTTAAGATATTAATAGTTTTTTTCTAGTATCATTTTGGTCAATCTACTCTTAGACTTGTTTTTTTTTTTAATACAACATGTAGAGGTGAAAATTCAAACTCACAATATCTTGGTCAAAGAAAGGTACCTTTACCGATGAAGTTCTACTCTAAGACTCATTTTGTTTTAATCCCGATATTTACAAATATCTAAATTTAGACCATCTACTTTCAATAAATCTTAAAACTAGTCCTTCCCATAAGTTTATTAACTTTTCTTTAAAATATATTTAGTTTCTATCAACATTCCCTCTATAATTTTTGAAAACATATTCACATGGTGTATTTTCTTGAATAAAATTTATTATTATTATTCCAAATTTAATAAAAATTAACTTCAAACTATTGATGAGAACTAATTTTAATTTAAAATTTATTAAAAGTCTAGAGAAAGTTGAAATGAGTCCCAAATCCTTAGACCAAAATGATATTTTAACTCTTTTTTTAACATTCAATATATGTTTTTTTTTTTTTCTTTTCAGAGGTTAAAATGATATTTTAACTCCTTTCTTAATATTCAATATATGTTTTTTTTTTCTTTTTAGAGATTAAAAAATACGGAGTGGAAATTACACCTTCAACTTTAAGTGGACGGAGGAGTGATCTTTAGAAGTCCCAACACCGAAAACCAACTCATTTCCTCAAATCCAACTCAAAGTCCTAATATAATCAATCGATTTCGCACCTCTTACACTAAACATCAACTTATTACTTCAAAGGCCAACATGAGCTATCATTAACGGGTAAAGACATATATATTAGACCAAAAGATCAAAAATTCAAACCTCTACTTTCACATGTTAGAACCTTAAGAAAATAAAAAACAAATCAATGGAAAAAAACTACTGCATCACATCTGAACAAAATTTGCCATACAAGGAAACTGTTAATCTCCCTGTATGGTTGGTGAGATTTAACCAAACAATAGGTCGTGTAATGAAACTTTTAAAATCATAAAGACCCATACCGAAGAGAGAGAGAGAGAGATTGCAGTACTTGCTGGAACCTTTACACCACAAGAGAGAGAAGAACAAACATATGCAAGTACTTTTCAAAAAGAGAGAGAGATTGCAGTACCTTTACACAATTTATAGACACGTAACGGCTCGAACATGGATCGTGGGTATCAACACCCAAGCCTCTTGCCATTGTGCTAACACCCAGGGGTGCAGTATCTTTACACAATTTGTTTCCCTTTTCTTCCTACTTTGGGATTGTCTTTTCGACTCTTAAACATCTGATCTAACATACTCATTTTCTCACTTACATGCTTCTTAACACCCTTCAAAAGCTTCAATATGCATTTTGTGGGTTCCAAAATCTATTAAGAACATCAACAAATTTAACAAATATTTTCGTCATTATCTACGTATAGTCGTCTATAAGGAGCCATTCTTTGACTAACCACTATCATGAGTCCTCAAAATGATGATCGGTTTCATCGAAGATCTCCTCCTGTGGAAATATATGTCAAAACTAAATAACCATCCCCTTCTATTTTCTAAAAAATGAACAATTGTTTATGTACCTGCAAAAGTTCTTCGATGACATCTTCCATTGTTATGACACCGACAGCTTCTTCTTCCTCGGCGAGTTTAGGAAGAGCACCTCCATCTATCTGCAGGATATCAGAGTACATGTCTTTTGTCCACTTCTTGCTTCTAGAGCCGCCACTCCTGTATGAATTATTTGAGGTGGGAAAGCTTCTCCACTTCTGAAGTGGCCTCATGTTCTTCAAGGTTTTTTCTTGTGGGGGCTGCTGCTTTTCACCATCCACATCAATTCTAACATCTCTCTGGGAATCTAGTTTGAGAGAGTATTTTAATTAATGTAATACCATCTAAACCAGAATCTGGAATCCAAAAACAGGCTAATTTGTGTATAACAATCACAAAGAGATACATACCATCGTCTGGTTTGTCCGGTTTGTCAGCATCAGCAGGTTTCTCGTTCATTTTGTTGCACTGTTTGACAACAATCGCCATGTGGCTATGACCTTTCTGGAACTCATTCAGAATGTCATATAATGGCATAGTTTCGGGAACTCTGTAACAAAATTATCTAACATCAGGGTGACACTAGAATTTGAACTGTCGATTTAATACAAATACATCATTTTTCTGTCACCAATTTACCTTGGAATCCTTCGAATGGTGACATTCTTCACTGGAACTTTGTCATCTGGGTGGATTGTAAGCAAATTTTTAACCTAATACATAAACCCAAAGTGGGTATTAAAAGAAAAGGAGAAATTATCTTTTGCAAGGGAGGATAGTTCCACTAAGTTACATGGAACAGTTGTAGATTACAGATAATGGGTGAATGACAGAGAGAGAAATTCTCCAAAGCGTGTGGTTCTTCGGTATAGAAAAATGGGGGTAAAGCCTGCAGTTTTGCATGGAAGTGAATAGGAAAAAAGGACATCCTGGAAATCCAAAGATGACTCGCCGAGGCTCTGTAACCAGTCTTAAATTTGTTGGATATAGAATCATGTTCGGCTGTTGTCACTGTTGATCTCTGAATGGGATACTAATTACTTTAAAACATAAAAAAAAATGAACGGTAAGTAGCTTTTAATTTCATGTACATAAACATGAAATACTAATCATGATCATCTCTCATTAGACTAGCTTTTAATTTCATAGTCTATCCAAAATCACCTTCCTTATTAAGAAGAGAGAGAGAGGGGGGGGGGGGAGAGAGAGAGAAGTCTATAACAAATCCAATTACTCCATGTCCAAATAAAGTATATAAAATGACAACCAATAATAGAAGAAGAAATTGCCTGCTCTAAAAGAGGCATCTAGGAAGATCAGGTGAAAATCACAAAATTTATTGTATAGAGTGTTGTTTGATGCTAAAAGAGAATGAAAGTTATGTTTTCCACACACAAATAATGGATATTTGAACAGGATACAAGAGATAAAAAAAATAAAAAAAATAAATATGAACTTGAGTATGTGCCCTTTATGGTAAGAAATTGTCAGAAAAGGGAAATTTCACAGTATAAAAAAAGATTATACAATCTTATCAGGAAATGTTTCATAGAGTACAGAGTAGAGATGATTAACAAGTTTACCAGGATAAGACCAATGATGTTGGTTTTTTCTTCATAATAAACTGGCACCCTGCTATGCCCTTTCTCCAGGACAAGACTCATCAGATTCCTGTGCCATTATAAAAAGCATTTCAGAAACTATAAATTGGAATTAGCGAATTATGGTGACCTATATATTGTCTAATTCTCAACATTTATATGACCTATCGAGCTTTGCATTAATGTCAATAGAAAAAGTTTCAGATATAGGAGTCATGGCATCACTAGCTGTCTTCTCAGTCAGTTCAAGTGCTCCAGCAATTATAGTGGTTTCATCATGTGTCAGTTCTCCACCCTTTCCAGCCTGTTACAAGTTAACCTCAGGCATAAAGTAAATACAATAATGGGAGCAGAAAAGAGAAACAAAGAAGTTCAGTAAGAAAGGAAGAAAGAACTTGTTAGTAATATGATGTAAAGTTCGTCTACCAAAGATTTTAAATAAACATAGCAATACACACACATACATGTAGTAAAATCTTACAAGAATTGAATAAAAAACGTGTTCGTATAGGTACTAGACCCCGTATATACCTCATTACCATGCAAATTTACAAGTGTTTTCAGCTCAGCTCTTCGGAAAAGAGCTACACGTCCATGGCCCAGTAGAAAGTCTAGCAGCTGGGAATCATGTTGAGCATAAATAATTAAGGAACCATTTTGAACAATAATGTAGGAAAATTTAATAACCGAAATCCTCAATGTCTACCTTGCTGATTGGATATGCAACAGGGAAGCAAACCCAGACAAGAACACGGACAAAAGGAGCAACTGTTGATCCGATTGCCAAACCATACCGAGAGCAAACAGATTGTGGTATAATCTGTACAAAAAGTAAATAGATTTTCAAACATAATATTTGGTGACAGCTGAAAAATGTAAACTGAGGTACTAATACAGCCAAGAATAGCAACTGTGCGAGCAGACAACTCTGCTTAATTGTCTACAGGATGCAACAATGACACAGTTGCAGATCCATAATGCAGGCCGATCCTCGACCTTAGTGAGCTTTCAAATATTCATTGAAATTTTAAAAAAAAATTAAAAAATATTCCAAACTTGCTTAAACTAGATAATCCCTCTAACCTCGCCAAAAAGAAGAATCAATGTCACCGAGATTAGAATAGCACCCCAAGCTGTAACCAGACCGTCAAGAAAAATAGGAAGTGCCTGCACGAACAATTTTCCTGAATTTACTGTATGTGGTCAACCTACTTCACACTTATTCGCTATCTCAAATAAAATGTACCTCCATGGCTGCCGCATTGCAGATCAGTAGGGTGCAAAGCAATAAATGCTGGTTTTTGACAACTGGCAATATCTTTGCTGTTACAGACCCAAATAGATTATTATGGAGAGGTTTTAATCACAATACCACAGACACATTGAAGTTTAAAAGGATAAGCATTATGAAAATTATGGGGTCATCAGAAGTACAGAGAAGTAAAAGTTGCCTTCCTCTGAACCTTAATTCAGAAAAAAATAGATTTTTTAAATTTTTTCCTTGAATCTAGTAAATATTTCTTGTGTATGCAGATGTTATATATAAGCAATGTCTATTTACTTCTGAAAATTGAACCCGTATTTTTTTGCCTAGTTATTCTTCAGTGTTTTGCTTCTGCATGGAGTTATCTCCTTGTAAATCATTCGGTGATAAATAAACCAAAACATAAAATGACAAAGTATCAGATTCTTATTTTCAAGAGCGTGATATTTCTAGAGTAAAAAACTGCAAAAGAGGAAAAAATATATATTGTTATGCTTTTTAATCTTCAAATAAATATACGATTTTGACAAGCTGGGTAAAAACTTAAAAGAATGAATTCATATCCACTTTGACGTTTAAGTAAAGTGAACCAAGTAGGCATTCTTAGTACAGAGACTTCTGAATCCAATTAATGACAATTATGTTTCTCAGATAAGATTACCAGTCAAGCACCAAAAATATCTGGAGAAACTTCCCTAGAATTTATATTTAATTTTCAATAATGTCGATACAAGTGGAAGAAGCAAACTATCTCTAAAAATCATATGCTGAGATTTCTTACCAAAGAAAATATGAGTTGACACACTGCAATGTAAATTTTTTCTAGGGTAACCAGACACTTCATTGACTTCAAGTTATAGCTATTTTAGAGCTATTAACTCGACATTTCAATGTCGATCTAAGCATGGTTTACTTGGTTAGACGTCTACGGCCTCCCTTTACAGGTGTGAGGTTCAAATCCCCATTCCTCCCCTGATTTGTAACGTACTATTATCAAAGAATAAAAACTCGCATTTCAATAACTTTAGCCAGATATAACATTAGAAAGACTTTCAGAAACAAAAAGAAGAAAGTCCCTTGCACGCTGGGTTCTAAGATCTTCCAAAGTCACCACCATCCCAGACCAGTAAATACCTTACCAGCCACAGTTTGAAACTGTTACATTTTGTCCATTTATACATCCTTATAAAGAGGACTGCGGGCTAGATAGAACACTGAAAAAACGTCAAATTAAACCTTTCTTTGACACACCCAAAATCCTCATGTAAAGGAAATGGGGACAAAAATTCAGAGCCAAAGCAAAACAATATAAAATACCCAATTCCTTCTGGCCTCAAGCGAGCATTAGAAAATGAATTTCCTCTAAGATCATTATATATTAATGCCACCGCCTTGCACGATACATCAAGAGACATGGATGGCAACAATTTTATTTTCATCACATTAAATCGAAGCTCCAATCAGATGCTCCCCCAAAAATGATTCGACCCTTATATTCCAATGAAAAGAGAAACAAAAACAGGGGAAAGTCCACACCCAACACAAGACACCACCATATCATATCACCATGAAAATAAATTGATTCTTGAGAAACATGAGGCGGTTAGGAACATAGAAAAATCAATATAATATATATATAGTCAGTAAAAGGAATCAAAAGCAAAGCTGAAGACTGGAGAGACATATTGAAACGGCCCCACGCAATAAATCCTGTAACCTATTCCCACCTCACATTTCCCAGATCGATTAACCAACAAAAGCCCAGTAAGGAAGAATGAAAATGGTAAAGGAAAAACGAGAGAGAAGAGAAACAAGTACCGGCATACTTGCGATCCTTGGGAGTCCCGGACTTCGCAAGAACTTCGAGATCGACGAGACTCATGGACATGAGGCCGAGGGTGAGGCCGGACATCAAGCCGGCGAAGATCACCAAGAGCACGATTATGACGATGTGGATGAAGAAATTGGTCTCGCAGCATCTGTATTCGACGGCCATTCAATCCAGAGCAAGCTCCGGCCACCGGGAACAGAAGGGGCTCTGTTTTGGGTCGAATTCTGCGGAATTCAGAGGTCCGGCGAGGTGGGTTTGTGGAGAAAGTTCATTTTCCGAAACATTTGCAAAGAAAAAAGGGGGGAGAGAGGAGATTATATAGGGTGGTGCTGCAATGAGAGAAGAGAGAGAGAGAATATACGTCTTTGGGAGTGAACGTGTACACAGAACAGAAGAAGAAGATGATGGATGGGCGAAGCGGCTAAGTACGGGAAAATTAATTGGGACCTAACAGGAATCAAAATATTAAATTGTTCTTCCATTTTCCATTTTCTCTCAATTTTCAATTCAACTTCTCTTTGTTTTCTTTCTTTTAAATGCTAATTTGATCTATATAATTTTCTATTTTAGTTCTTTTTTTTGTACTATTAGCTTATTTATTTTAGTCTATTTATCTTTGAAACGTTTGTTTTAGTTGGTGTACTTTTAAAAGTAATCGTTTCAATCTTTATTTACAAAATTTTGACATAAATTTGTATATACAATGAAAATGGCTTAATGCAAATTTGTGGTTTTTGTGGTTGCATTTTGAGAAGTTTAGCCAGTGCATTGTAAAAATTTGGTGGATCTAAATTAGATAAAAATGAAAGTGAATGGACCAGAGTGTGGTCGTTTTTAAGAAGGTACAAGAATCTCGAAAGTATGAGGACTAAAATGAATAAAGTGTATAAATCAAAATGAGCGTTTTGAAAATACTGCGACTAAAATGAACCAAAGACGAAAGTACCATAACTAAAATAATATTTAAATTTTTTTTTATTTATTTTTAGGTTTAACTATAAGTTCGGGTGTGAAATTTTAGAATGGTTTTTTTTCGTTCAATGAGATGGGAGATCGAATGTTTGAGATGGTAACATGTGTTTTATCACATTGATAAAATTTTCTTCAAATTTTTATTAATAAATTATATTTGTTTACTTCATTAATTTTATGTCTAATAGGTGATTATCATTTATAAGCATAAGATTGAACCATCAACAATTATATAATAATAGATGATTTATCTATGAATCTATATCTTGAGTTGACCCTATCATATAAAGGTTAAAGATAAAAATCTATTAGGCTTAATTTTTAATTACTATTAAATTATGTTCCTATCGACTATGGAAAAACTTTTAATATACAGGAATTAAATAAATCAAGTTCAAATCTCCACAATGAAATTTTAATTATAAATACTATTATCACTCCCATTAATCATCATGACTCCTACGTCCCTACTAAACATTTCAAAAATATATGAATCAAAACAAAATAATTGGAATAATTCAACCAACATAATAATTTTTAAACAGATAAATTATTTGAAGAGAACTTCATTATTTACTTTATATTCAACTTGATTTGATTTTAAAATTTTAATTTCATTAAGTTGAATCGATAAACAAAATAAAAATAAAAACATTAATTTACACTTCTTTCGGGTTAATGAATCTTTTTATATAGATTTATTAGATGCGGGCATTTTTGCTGTTAACAAAATTGATTTTTTTTTAGGAAAAGGATTGATTTTGTTGAGGGTTGGTTTTTAAAGTTTTATTAATTTTCGTTAGTTAATAAATTCGACGTTAATATAAAGGATGAAGCTAGATTTTTATTATATCGTAAAAATATTAATGACATTGTTATGCAATGGAAACCGAAAGTCGAGGTACAGGTGAAGATCGGAAGGAAGCCACTGGGCTGCGATGGGCTCGGTCCCGACCCGGGGCTCGGTCCCGACCCGTGGCTCGGCCCCGACCCGAGGCTCGGTCCAGACCCGTGGCACGGCCCACGGCCCTCCAGCGGCCCTTCGTCTTCGATCCACGGTTTCGCCCAGG